GGGAATCAAGAAGAAGGAAGGAAGGTGAAGACAAACAGCCTGCTAACGGGATGCATCGTTGCAACAAGGGTGTCGTAAGGGAAATGGAGGGGGGGGGGGGAGGGAGCTCAACTCTCCTGCAATATGAAGTGGTCTGGAGCAGGGGTCCCCAACCACCGGTCCGTGGACCGGTACCAGTCTGCGGAACAACTCCTACCGGGCCGCTGGCTTGTTGGGCGCCGCCATCTTTTTTTGATGAAAAAGTGCTTCCGGTGAGCTTTTCCGGGTAGAAAGCTCACCGGAAGCACGTTTTCATCAAAAAAAGATGGCGGCGCCCGGCTGATGCCGGTACCGGGCCGCGGCGCCCAGCTGATGCCGGTACCGGGCCGCGGCGTAAAAAAGGTTGGGGATCACTGGTCTGGAGGGTAATGGCCTACAACTATATTTCTCAACCTTGGCAACTTTAAGAGATGCAGACTTCAATTCCCAGAATTCCCCAGCCAGCCTCTTAAAGTTGCCAAAGTAAATATTAAGAGTTAAAAATCCATATAGCTTAAAGTTGCCAAGGTTGGGAAACACCTATCTATAAAGATCTCTCTCTCTCTCCCTCCCTCCCTCTCCCTCTCCCCCCTCCCTCTCTCTCTCTGCTTTAGTTGGCAGAGGCTTCTAATCAAAGGATGAGAAAGTGGGACAATTTAAGCTCAAAGCTGCTCATTCATACACGCATCAGGTTCTGCCAGTAACACTAAATTATGGCATAGAACTCAAGCTGAATTAATGAGATTCCTTTGAAGCAAAGCTTTCCCTCCAAAAGTTGCCCTGAAATATTTAAAAACCCAGAATGAGAAACTTATTAAATACAAAGGTAAAAACTGTACTATCTGCACTTCATGTAAGATAGTCCTCAACTTACAACCACAATGGGTACCAGAATTTATGTGACAAAGCAGGGCGGTCACTAAGTGGAGTCGAGCCTGATTTTACGACCTTTCTTGCCACAAACAAATCCATCATATACATCATTTCCACCTCTCACAGAACTCTCTGATCTGTTACTCCTATCTATATTATTCATTAATAGCTTAGCAACAGCCTGGCCACTTCAAAAAGAAAAGAATCGATTTTCTTTCAGCTTGCAATAGTTTCCTTTCCCAAATATCTGAGAATTATTTTGCTCAAACAGAAGAAATGTTTTTATAAGATAACAAATCAAACGCTACATTCAAACTAACCTGTTAGCAACAGCCGTCTAAACACAGGACTCACTTGTTGTAAAATGGAGCAATGACAGCTAAAGAATTTCCTAATTTTAGAATGTGATTTTGAGCCTTGATAGTTCTATCAATTCATTTACATGATGCAATCCACTGCAAACTTTCAATGTTTCGTCAGCGCTTTTTTTTTTGGATGGGTACAGCTATCAATGACCCAGGTCAGGTCAGATTATTTCTAATTTATTTCCTTCCATACAGACCCACCATACATTCAAAGCCACATACAATTTATTTGGCTTTAATGAATGTAAAATTCCCTCACAACTTCTGGTCAGTTATTCATTGAATTCACATCTTATTTTTTTTTTAATAGAAGCTCAAGATTACATGTCTCACCCAAGGTGTCTGAAGGCAGGACAAGAAGCAATGGATGGAAACTAACCAAGGAGAGAAGCAACCTAGAACTAGGGAGAAATTTCCTGACAGCGAAAACAATAAACCAGTGGAAGGGCTTGAAGTTGTGGGTGCTCCATCACTAGAGGCCTTTAAGAAGAGACTGGACAGCCACTTGTCTGGAATGATATAGGGCAGTGGCTGCCAACCGGTAGGCCATGAGAAAATTTTGGTGGGCCACAGAGAAATCTCACCCCAAGAGCACCCCCCACAAAGCAATTAATCCAGGCTGCACAGAAACACAAGTGCTGCATCACCCACATGGCCCGCGGGAACGCTCCCCACCCACTCACTCCTCACCCGGTAAACTTACCTGCTAGATTGCTATTTTTCCTTTTTTCTGACCATCATCTGTTCTCTGTGCCGGGAGATTTAGATTAGCTAGGAAGCAGAAAATGGTTGGATTTCTTGCTTTCCAGCTAGTCTTTAGATCTTCGGCTCTGCTTTTAAGTACAGCCGAACCTCCCTTAGGACTGAAGGTTTTGCTTGCAAGCAAATTCAGTGCAGACTCACGGCAAGCAAATTTGAGAGACTGAGCTAGCCGATGGCAGATAGATAGATCACTGAATGAATCTGTGATTCTGTGAGCAACTCGATCTGCCTGCCTGCTTTGCCTGATTTTGGGTAAAAGTTGCTCTTTTTTTAATAAAAAAAATTCAATATTTATATAAATATTTATAATATTTACATACAAGCCATGCCCAGCTAATCACATGACCACCAAGCCACGCCCACAAATTAGGCCACACCCACAGAACCAGTTTGTGGTCCCTGGGATCTAAAATTATGAGTTTGGTGGTCCCTGAGGTCCAAAAGGGTCTCCTACTTGAGCGGGGGTTGACTATAGGACCTTCAAGTCCCTTCCAACTTTGTTATTCATCCTTTCCCCACCCCTTTTTGAAGCATCAACTCTTGTGGTGTAGGGTTGGGCTGAGAGAGAAAGATGGCTCATAGGACAGCTAGTATAATGGGTTATGCAGTGCTTAGCAAACGTTGTGACTTCTTTTAAAGGACTGTACCACAATACCTGCTATTATTACATCAGATTAGCAACAATGACATTTTGAAAGTCTAATAATCACCCTAACGTGGAAATGCCTTACTTACTTTCCTATAAGGAAGCCCAATAGCGTATATCAATGTTTTTCAGACTTGATATCTTTAAGATGTGTGGACAGCAAGCTAGCTGGGGAATTCTGGGAGTTGTATCTTAAAATCGCCAAATTTGAAAAAAAAGTATTGGTGTAAATAAAACAGGTATATATACACAAGGGCATTAAATCCTGGGCAACACACAGCTAGTCCTCTTCAAAGTTGCCTCTAGGTGAGATGGGGCATTTAACTTTACTAAAGAAATAAATTCACTTCCTTGTAAGAAAACACACACACACAAATCCAACTGATTTGGATACCCAGGAGTTCTGTCCTGGGGGAAACCACAGAACTTGTGAACCAACCTATAAGAATCCTGCAAGTTTTGGGGGTGCAATTAAGGATGGGATACCCCAAATCTAAGATTGAAGGGGGGGTCTTCAACAAGCAGCAGATCAAATATTGGCAGAGTTTAAATTCTTTAAGGATTTATTTAAATTCTTTAAGAACAGAAGTTCTGTCCTGGGGGAAACCACAAAACTTGTGAACCAACTTTTAAGAATCCTTCAAGTTTTGGGGGTGCAATTAAGGGCGGGGAATGGGATGCCCCAAATCTAAGATTGCGGGGGAGGGATCTTCAACCAGCAGATCAAATATTGGCATAGTTTAAATTCTTTAAGCTGAACCCTAACGAGAAGGAGATGTTCGGAAATGCTCCTGCTGCTCCCACCCTACCAATAAATCATCTAGCTGCACCCCAGTTTGAAGATCGCTGCTTTTTTAGGGGACAGGAAAAGCTACACCCCATAAACACAAAAGCTTTCTGGAAAAGGAAAGGATTAAAGGGGCTTGGGAGCCGATCGGGGACTCCAGTATCCCGGGGAAAGGGGAGGAGAATTTCCCCACCTACCTGCCACTCCAGCCGGCTGCAGCCACCGCCTCTGCCGAGGCTGCTTCTCCCCACGTGCTACTTTCACATTCGCGAAGGACCCCTCCGACAGGCGTCCGAGGCAGAGCCCGGTGCGAATTGACAAATCCGCATGAAATAGCCTAGTTTACAGATTCAGATTAGCAGAGTTGGAAAGGGACCTTGTAGGTCATCTAGTCCAACTCCCCCGCCCAAGGAGACCCTACTACAGCATTTCTGGCAGATGGCAGTCCAGTCTCTTCTTGAAAGCTTCCAATGATGAAGCTCCCACAATTTCCACGGGTTGATTGTTCTCATTGTCAGAAAACTTCTCCTTATTTCCAGGTTGACTCTCTCCTGGTTCAGTTTCCATCCATTGTTCCTTGACTGGCCTTCAGGTTAAGTACATTATGCCCGAACCAAGTAATCAAATGTTCTCTAATTCGTTAAAGATAATGATGGAAAGTCTGTCTTCTCCAAATATCTGCTAGCCTATGTCATTTTTTTTAAAAGGAGGCTATTGGCAAATAAGATCTAAAAGGTGAAAAGATTTGTAAAAGCAATAAGATTCCAAGAGTCAGGTCATGATGAAGTACTAAAGGTATTAATTTTAAAAATTGCTGATTTTTTGGGAAAAAATGCTTAGGTGCATTAGACCCAAATAATGGCAACTGTGTGTGAATGCAGTGACAGGATCATAACCAGAGTTTGTTATTCTGTTTCCAACTATGTGACAGATACCTACAAAAGATGACAAACAGGAGGGTGTTTGGAAGGGTAAAGTTTTTCCAAAGCAAATTTAATTTATGCAGGAAATCTGGGACTTCTATGAATGAAGAGATTCAACCTGGGAACAAGGAGAAATTTTCTGACAGAGCAATCAACCAATGGGACAGCTTTGCCTTTGGAAGTTGTGGAAGCTTCATCACTGGAGACTTTCAAGAATAGACTGGACCATCTGTCAGAAATGGTGTAGGGTCTCCTGCTTGGGCAGAGGGTTGGACTAGATGACCTACAAGGTCCCTTCCAACTCTGTCAATCTCTATGAGTCAGGACAGTATCCCACATACTACACAATCTGTTAAAAATATCGTACTTCTTTCCTCCTTACTTTTAAAATCACATCTTCCCACTTGCATCTAGGAATTACTACTGATTGTATTAGGATTTTTAATACATCATATTGTGTTCTGAGGATGTTTTACATTTTTTGGTTGCAGTGAGCCTCCCAAAGTCATGTACCTGAGATACTCAGCTATATAAACTGAAATAATAAATGCATAAATAAACTCTCGCTGCAGTTACCACCAACTTGTTTCAGCGCCTTCACCACAGCAGTGAGCCACGATTACACAGGCACTTGATTAGCCAATTCTCAAAAGGGTCCTCTTTCTTAAATCGATCAGCCCTCTCGAATGATCATAGAGAGCATCAAAACAGCTTCGACCTCGATAGAACGTCTCGCATTCGAACTTCCGGTAAGCCGAGAAACACGACAGAACTTCCGGCGAGGTAAGGAGTGTGTGGCTTTCCTTCGCTCGAGCTTCATTCAGACTTAAATTACAGTTCGGAGTTGCGATTGCAATGGACAACTCCACAGTTGTGGGTCCATACATTGGGCACCAGAAAGCACAATTGCTTGCAGCTGAGTTTTGGCCACAGAGTTAACCCTCCCGGCTATGACCGAGGACATTTCCTGCAAAGGGAACAGCCGAGTGCCTCCTCGTGGTGGGAATAAAACATTGCAACTCTTGGATCCAAGATGTTGATCTGCAAGGTGCAACTCCCATCATCTTCAAGCTGATGGTGTCGAGCGGCCCTGGACTACAGCTACTATCATCCGCGGGGCTAGTGCTCCACGGTTGTGTTAGACTACAACTCTCGCCCTCAGGAGAAACTTCCAGACATGATAAAGTACAACTCCCAATTGTGGTGCAAAGTGAACTTGCTTATTGTACCCTATATTATTAAGTGTTGTGCCTTATGATTCTTGACTAATGTATCTTTTATGTACACTGAGAGCATTTTCACCAAGACAAATTCCTTGTGTGTCCAATCACACTTGGCCAATAAAGAATTCTAAGTAAACTAGCACACCTTTGGCTGATTGTATCCAGGTTGGCAGTACTTAAAATTTTGGCTCTTTTAAAGAAGCATAATTGTTAACAGAATGAAGAGGAATAAGCAAATTGAGAAAACTCAGTGTTAAAGTTGGAGATTAAAATGGTATTCATGATGACAGAGAATCCTTTATAATGCTGCAGTGCCTTATCTCTATTACAGTGAGAAAAATTCTTATGGGGAACTATTGTCTTTGGTTCACAGAAATGAGAAATCTTGAAAGTAGTGGGGGGGTGGAACCCACAGATTTGGGGATACAGAAGACTTGTTGATTATTGAAAAGAGGACCTGGACAATGATCAATCTTGGAGAATTGAAGGAAAGATATTTTTATCCCACTTTTTTGTATACAAATCAAGGCATTGAGCATACTGATTTTTCCCATAAGAACAATCCTGTGAGGGGGATTGGGCTGAGAGTGACTGGCCCAAAACCACTCAAGCTAAATGCCTAAGAGAGGCCTAAAATTCACTCTCCTAGTCTCTAGTTAGCAAGTGGCCTACACTAAATGGGTGCTCAAAACTCGGGACAGCAGGAATCTTCAGAGTGCAAAAAGGAAATGTTTTTAACCCATTGTTTTTCAACCTCCACAACATTATGCTGTGCAGACTTCAACTCCCAGAATTCCCCTAGCCAGCCATGCTGGCTGGAGGAATTCTGGGAGTTGACATCCCAGAAGTTTAATAGTGCAGAGATAGACATTATTTTAAGCAGAGGTTAAGTCTTCCAACACACGAGTTATACTGCGCATAAGTATTTAAAGTCTAGGAAATGCTCAGCCATCATTTAAAACATGATTTGTACAAAATTAAAACCCAGAATCTGTTCTGGCTGCAGAGCTCACTTTGGGTGTCAATTATACATGCTTATGCACAAGCAAATTCCTACCAAATAGAGATGATAGATTGTGGAGAAGCCATTACTGGCCATCTTTGTGTATGCATAAACTCCTACAAGATGGCATGTTCTGAGTGGGGAAAAGATTTCTATCAGTAATGCACTTAAAATTGCCCAGAAAGGATCCATGCAATCAAATATGACTTAATTGGTCAGAAACTGCTCATTCTCAAGACATCCTGTTGGGAGACCATAAAATGGCTCTGGGTGTTGAAACAGCACCACTCACAGCTCACTCATTTAACCGATGACAGCTTGCAGAAAAAGAATAAAACTAGTATACCATCTTTAGTTTGCCCCTTCCTATGCTTTTATTAGTAAGCCTTTCACGTTTATTTCTTTTCTGCTATTCAGTCAAAAGATCAAGGCCTCTTGTGACTCTTTTTCAAAGATTAACACTTTGTGCTAACATCTGCAAAGAAACATGGGTGTATAATCACTTGTCCCAGAAATCATTTTTATTAAAGATGTTTTAATTCAAATTCCTATAAAAACTAAGGGCTCTAGAGACTATTTACTTTGACAATTCAACCCCAGCATAAACTGCTTGCTTTTATTTTATCTTTACTTATTTGCAGGGGTTACAGGGAGAGAGCTTTTAAGTCAATGTTGACTCCTGACGGTTGCCTGAATAAGTCCTTGCAGTTTTCTTGGCAAGATCTCAAGTGGTTTGCCTTGGCTTCCTTCCTAGAACTAAGAGGGAGTGATTGGCCCAAGGGCACCTCAGCTAGCTTTGCCTCAGACAGGACTAGAAGTTAGGTCTCCTGAACCTTGACCTTAACCACTACACACCAAACTGGCTCTCATGGAGTTGCATTGTCCTGCCTAAACTGTATTTCTTTGCCCCCTATCCACCAGGACTCTGCCAAAACACCTTCCCAAGCACTTGTCAAACTAATTACTATGTAATGACTGCGTTCACTCTTTCTGCCCAAAGAAAATTCTTCCTAAAACCAACAATTTGGTCTTCACGCCCACATTTAAAGAAACTGTACCCTTCTCATTTTGCAAACCGCACCCATTTTTATCATTTTATTTGGTCATATCCTCCAGTTTTCAGCATTCTCACATTTGTGACTTCCACAATTTTTTTTCCTTGGACACAACTTTTGTAGCAACTGTTTTAATCCCATTTCTTTGACATATTATTCCCATACCAATATCAAAATATTGTTATGATTGTAAGCTGCCTAGTTACCTTGAGGCAAGATGGGCGGCCTATACATTTTATAAATAAATATACTCCATCCAGCATCCCTTCATTTCATTTTCACCCCATATTATTTCACCTTTTTTTTAAACTCTGTCCACTTAGCTAAAGGTTCCTGATTTAGACTTTAATCTACCTTTTTATTTCCTACAAAATTGGGAATTGTTTTTTTGAATCTTAACCATTTCTTATTCTCAAATTATATTCTTTCAGCATATATCTTTATCTATATATATATCTTTTCCAATTATTTCATCTTCTCTCAATTTCTTTTTCTTTTATGTCATTTTTTTTCTTTCAGTCTCTTCTCAAATACAACACTCCAGTTTTTTTCATTTATTCATTCACTGATACACCTTGTCCTTTAATCCGTTACATTCCACATTGTAGGCTTCTATATGCATTGGTCTTTACCAAATCAGACCAAAATTATACACTTGTGCTGCCCACCATGATTTTGGTCAGTCAAGGTTTTCAGATAACAAAGACTTGGTTTTCAGCCTTAGTCAACCCCATGCCTTATGCAACATTCCATGTTAATGTTAAAAGTAAGGTATGATGTAATATGGCTGGTATGTCATAAAAGCAACACTGCCAGTGTTATCCAATAGGCCCATTCTACTCTATTTAAGCTAGGGGTTCTAATCTAGATAACACAGAAGTCCTTAATTTATAACCATTCATTTAGTGACTGTTTGAAGTTACAACGGCACTGAAAAAAGTGACATGACCATTTTTCACATGGTCATTGCAGCATCCCTCTGGTCATGTGATCAAAATTTGGAAGCTTGGAAACTGGCATGTACTTATGACTGTTACAGTGCCCCAGGGTCATGTGATCACTTTTTGCG